TGTTGAACATGATCAAAATGTGATATGTTTTCAAACTTAGGTTTGATTTTATCCCATGTTTCGTAAAGCAGCAAAGCTGTGCATAACTCTATTCTTGGGAGAAAGATAGTCTGAAGAGGTGCAACCTTTGATTTTGCGATAACTGCGATTCTGCGAACCCTTGTATATCGCACTCCATATTACGAGAAGAATTAACAGATCTTGAAACTTTAATTTGGTTCAACATGAGTAAATCGGGCTCAATTCGCCGCCAGTTTTCTTGTAGCGTAGCAGGCAGTGGGTCATCTCACTCAACACTTTGTCTCCAACGTACTTGTACAAAATTTTTGTGTCTTATAATGATTGGACCTAGAAATCCAAGGAGGTCCTACAAACTTGCCATAGTGAAAGTGATTCGCCTCTTTGTGGAAACAAAAGCGAAATATATACATTTGCGGCTTCCATGACATTCCTAAAGCCTTTGTCACTTCATTGCCTTCCATCTAAAATTGGTATTCTCCTAGACACTTACCCTCGCTGCTGAAATTCCACTTGGTCAGCTTTAAACCTGCTCGTACGATAATCTCTTTGGTCTAAAGCATCTGTAAGTCCTGCAAACACCTGGGTTGTCGAACTGGGAACTGAAAGTCCTCTTGCTCTTCACCTTTCTTAATCTTGGGCTATCTTGGGCTCCGTTGGGTAAAGATGAATGATGTAAGCCGTGGCATGTCCTACAACGAAATTTCGAAGGACAAGCTTCGGCAATATGTCCTTTATGTAAACAATTTAAACATAAAATCGCCTGCCTTGTCCAGCTATTTCGCCCTTCGAATAAGGATCCCAGAATTCGTTGCATTAGCCTGGACTGGTAATGGAAAAATTTTTTTTTTTTTTTTTTTTTTTAATACTTTGCTTTGTTTATTAATTCTTCTCCTTACGAGACTAAAAATAACTGTATCAAATCTTATACTATAACATAATCATCATTCATATAGACTGGAACAGTAAAAATAGCCCTGACAAATTATGGCTGGGCTGGAAGGTCGTTATGTTGTGGGCGGGTTCTTCTAGAAATCCGAGTCAGATCCCTTGCGAGAGGATTTGGGTGTGCTGAGAGTTTTTCCTTGTATGACGCTTTATGCTTCTCTATTTCATCTTTTACTGCGAGAATGCCAAGATCCCTGTGGATGTTTTGCTTTCGAATATACCATTGTGTCCCAGTGATAGTTCTCAGGAGCTTTGCTTCAGCGCGCTGTATGATGTCTATGTTGGTTTGGCTTGCGTTCCCCCAGAGCTGGGAGCCATATGTCCAGATTGGCTTAAGAGTGGAATTGAAGAGTAGTACCTTGTAGTCCAGACACATGGGCGATCGGGCGTTTATAATCCAGTGGGGGCTGCTTTTAGTTTAAGGTGTAGTTTCTTGCATTCGATATGTCTACGCCATGTTAGACATCTGTCGAGGTGGACGCCGAGATACGTTACTTCGTTGAATTGGGGGATCTGTGTGCTATTCAAGTAAAGCGGAGGGCATGTTTGTCTGTTAAGAGTAAACGTTATGTGTTTACACTTCTGTTCGTTTACTTTGATACGACAGTCGGATAGCTATTTCTCTACTACCGTGAGGTGGTTGCCTAATTGGGATGTTGCACGGACTGGGTATCTTCGGCGAAGGTGGATGTTATTAGTCGGTCGCTCGTGGGAATATCCGCTGTGTAAAACATGAATAGACTAGGTCCAAGTGCGCTTCCTTGTGGGACTGCAACTCCAATTTTTAGTTGTCGGATGTTGTTGTGTTGCACCTCACTACGACGACTCTGTTTTAGAGATACGACTCAAGTAATTTATGAGTTTACCCGGGAAAGTGTGTTTTGATTTTATGCATAAGACCGTTGAGCCTGACGCGGTCGAATGCTTGAGATATGCCGACGAATATCGCGCTGTTGACTTTCTCAATAGTCTAAAGCCAAATTGATGGGCTGGGATAATGTTATGAGCTCCCATATATGGTATAATGCGTGTTAAAAGGCATTTTTCGAACACTTTGGACAGGCATGAGCAGGAGGAGGACGGAATCGTGTGATCTTTTCCGGGCTTCGGTATCATTATGATTATTGACTTTTTCCATTTATTTGGGAAGCAGCCAAGACTTATGATCCCAGTGAAGAGTTTACAGATGATTTGGAAGACGCCCCTGAGATGTGAGGCAAATGTTTCGGCTCTGTCTGGGTCGCTGCGCGCCCAGCCACCTGATGAATTTCTTATCGGATTCAACCGGAGGGCTTAGGTTTGGGTGAGCCCTCCACAAAGGATGCTTTGCACTAGTTGGAGATAGTTTCTCGATAAATCTTAGTTGTGCGTTTTCGGCATCTTGCTTCAGAGCCCGGTTCAGTTTACGGGTGGCTTCATTTAGACGTTGCTTTGAGCATGGCAATCTGCTAACTTGCCACGCCCGTCGCAGACGCCTCTTTTCAAGAAAGAGCTGTTCAATTTGCAGGTTGCTTTTGAACTTCTTTATTTGCACATCATGTCGTTGTGGTGTTGAGATCCTGGCTGCTGTGACGAGTACCTCTTTCAGGGCGGCGGTAGAACAGTCGATGTCCGCTTCGATATTGAGCTGGGGGGTTAGCTCAATGTGTAAACTTACATACTTCCTGTATTTCATCCAGTCAGTTCTGTGCTACGTCATCCTGTAGGGGTGGTCCGTTATTTCTGGGCTTTGAAGAAGGGTTATCAATAATGGAGAGTGGTCTGATGAGAGATCTGGTAGGGCCTTGGCGCTTGGGTGCTAGGGTGCGTGGGATGTTTTTTGTCACAGCGAAATCGATAAGATCTGGAATCTTTCTGGGATCTGTTGGCTAGTATGTGGGGCTACCAGGAGAAACGTAGTCTAACTTATTTTTTACATTTATAAGTGCATTATAAAGTTGCCTTCCCTTGGGAGTAACGAGGCGCGATCCCCAGTGCGTATGCTTGGCGTTGTAATCTCCAGCAGCTATCTGTGCGAAGAAGGTGAACCAGCAGGTAGAGCGCTGGTCTCCGAACCGGTATGCCCGGGTTCCATTCCCAAGATCTCCGAGAAAAAGAAACGGTCTCTTTTTCCAAATCTCCATCGTTTCTATGCTCTATCACACACCCTCTCGTTCACGTTATTATGGACACAATAATAGAACTTTCATCACTCTTAGATGGCGCCAGTTAGCAACCCCACCGCTCACCAGTTCGATCGAAAACCTAAGATTAATGAATCCTCTACAAAAAAATTGTGGAGGCCCAATGCTCCCGGATTGAGTGAAGAAGGTAATTTTTTTTTTGTGATACAAGAAGCTGTATCACCATATTTTGGTTCTGGACCAGCGTTTGCATGGTCGCTTTTATAAATTACATGAGCTCCATCATACTTTGTTGCATAGTAACCATCAAAGTTTCCAAATTTCTCTGTGGCTGGATTGGGATCTCTTGAACGTTTTCTAAGTGTGGCTAGAGCGGATTTTCTATACCCGTTCGTAGAGCATTAGCGTAGAAGATGCCGTTGATAATTTGGCGGCTTTGGCAGAAATTACGTCTGTCGTAGTTTTTGATTTATAATACACATTTTGTTTATTTTGTTGACGCATAGCTGTCGCTCGTCGCATGCGAATCTTCAGCTCCTTGTAAACCAAACAGCCTCTGTAGTTTGCCGTATGGTTTCCTCAGCCCTTCCCACATTTTTTTTGTATGGGGGTCTTTGATAGCAGGGCAGTGTGCGGAACTGTGAAAGTCTCCGCAGACTACGCAGACTGACCGAAGTGTGCAATACGTCCTGGTGGTCCAAACTTCTGACAATTTGTACATTGCTCTGGGCCGTTCCGTTAGTTTTTTTACTAACATTCTTAGCAGAGAATGCCGTGTCTTTAAGGGCTTCAAGTATCCCAGAGGTGGCGACGTCAGGTTCGAATCCTTTAAGTACTACTTGTAACCCTTTGCTGCTTTTTAGTTGGTAGTTGTAAAAGTTCTTTTGTTGTTTCCTTCAGGTATTTAGACACAGCTCGGAAGTGTTCTACATATTTGGTTTGAACTTTAATTTCGTGAATGTTCCCTTCAATAAGCGGAACAACATGAGCTTTTTTCACTAATATAAATGGGTGGGGGCTTTGGTTCCTTTTGGGTCACTTGCTCCGGCTCAGCTTGGCTCTCATCATCTGCTAAGAGGGAAAGTCTGTTGCTGTGGTTGGCAATCCTGGTTTTTTCTTTGGTTTGGATTGTGCGGTTAATCTTTGGTTTGTTACCAACCGTGTTTTGTGGACTAAGCTTACGCTTAATCTGGATGTAGCGATCCATACCGGTCTGTATGGCTGGAACCGCTTGTTGCTTATTAAAGCTTACGGTTTTTGTTGCCGTTGCAGTTGGCGATGGAGCCGTTGACACCGTTTTCGCAATATTTGTCGTTGCTTAAGTTGTTGCTGTTACTTTTGGTGAAGTAGCAGAAGCCGGTGGTGGTGGGGTCTGGCATTGATAGCTCAAATATGTAGGAGTTGGAATGAGTATGGCTGGTGATAGAGAGCTTATGTGCTTTCGACGGGCCGGGCTGATCTTTGTAGACTTTTTCTCTACTTCGGTATCACGAGTTGAGAAATAAGCATAACAAGCGTTTCTTTGGTTAACGAAGCTTCTACGCTCATTATTTTGCTCGCCGCTCATTTATTTGAGCTTATTGCGGGTGGCAATATTTGTGAAAAACTGTATTATATCATTTTCATTATTTATTAGTTGTTGAGCTAATAAGCTTTTTTATTAGCTATTTAAATAAAAACACGAAAATTTAGAGTTCGATTTCTGCAAAGGCAGCGAATTTATTTTAGCAGAAGTGATTAACAAAATGGTCCGCGAGATCGAAAGGAAGAGTTAGAATTGCAACGGATCAGACAATTTCAGACCCAGAGTAGAAGCCAACAAGCAACGAGAGAGCGAATAGAATGATAGAGATAGAGAGCGATGGTTATTATGCAGATAAGATAAGAGAGAATTGCGGGAAAGTCGTTGCGTACCGGACGTGTTTTATATTCGAGTGCGCGAAAACAAGTTTCCTACGTTGTGATCCGCGTGTGCGACATCTGAAATTGAAGTAGAGGGGTTGTAGCGACCCATAGTTGTGGAAGGATAAACATACCAGTGTGCGGAGGTCTTCCCTGGACCCCAGAATCTCTCTGGCTCCAGTAGCGTCGGCTCGGCACTGGGACGAAGGGGTGATACCCCCCCTGCAGGTGAGTGAAAGCCCTTTTCACTCAATTTTCCGAATTGGGTGATTAGGTCTGCCATCTTCGTGGTCAGTTGACTGATCAGCTGCGCTTCAGAGTTGCCAACTCTTAGCGAGCGTAAGCCGCGCTGTCAACCTGCGGGGAAAGCTCTTAAGAAAGCTCTCCTCCGACCCAAAGTGTAGCATACACATAGGCGTTAGGTAGAAACAGGAAAGGAATTATTAAGAATGGCGAGCCGTGGCCCTGGCCCGGTTAGCATAATTAAGGAGACGACTCAGGGCAAGGCCGAAAGCGCAGCAGCTAAAGACTCTGCTGCGCCGGAAGCTGACCCATTTAGGAAGAGTAGCAAGATGGGGAGATCACCGACTAAGGTGCCAAAATCTCCACCCATTTTCTCGCCTGCAGTAGAGCAGAAACAGGCGGATACGGCGCATGCTGGAGGTCCCACAGAAGCGGGGGTCTTTCACTTCAGCGCTATTTCCGAGCAGGGACTGGCTCCGCTTATCGCCAATGGCGACATAGACGGAGTCATTGGCGCGATCGGGGCGAAATTGTCCCAATTAAACAGCATGATGTTAGGCAAGACGAGGGTGATGGTGACGATTCCTATGAAGGAACTCGTGCAGCAGGTCATCGCCCTCCAAAAATCAGCAGTTAGGATTCGGGAGACGGCTCCAAAGATTCCCAGCGAGCAAAATCCCACTCCCAAGAGGTCACGTGAGAGCCCTAGAGCCGGTAAGCTCTCAGCGCCAAAAAGGCAGAAGGTGCCGAAACCTTGCGGCACAAGCAATAAGGTGGTGAAAGCCATCACCTACGCAAGTGCTGCGAAGCAAATTTCCGGCCCCCTTCCGCCGTGCCATGCGGACAAAGGCACGAAGGAGGGTGCGGAGAAATGGTCGACGGTTACCAAAAAACCGAAGAAGCAGCTGCCAAAAAAGCAGCAGCAGCATAGAAAACTCCCTCCACGCACAGACGCACTAGTCGTCAAGTGTGGCGAGGGCATGCAGTATGCCGACGTGTTAAAGTTGGTGAAAAATAACCCAACTTTACAGCAACACAAAGATTGCGTCAAAGGCATACGGATGACTGGTAGGGGCGAGCTTCTCATCAAAATGATGAAAACGGCCGACCCAGCCACATCCAAATTACAGAAGGCGATGCAGGAGACCCTGTCTGATAAGGCAGAGGTTAAAGAATTGAAGGAGCTAGTCCAAGTCGAGATTAGGGACACTGCGGAGTTTTCGTCAAAGGATGACATTATTCAGGCAGTTTTCACCAATTACGAAGGCGACATTCCACCAGCGGCCATTCCTTCCCTAAGGAAGACATACGGGGGCACATTAATAGCCAGGATGAGCATCCCGCCCGTTCTTGCGGAGAAGATCCTAGCAGAAGGAAAAATCCGCATCGACTGGGCGCACTGTAGGGTCCGTAAGTCCGTTGAGCCAAAGCGATGCTATAAATGCCTCGCATTTGGCCACATGGCCTTGCACTGCCGGAGCAAGGTCGATTTGTCCAAAGCGTGCTTTAACTGCGGTGGGCTCGATCACGAGGCCAAAAGCTGCAGCAAAGAGGCACGCTGCCTACTATGCGCAAAAACCCAGGGCGCAAACTGCAAGCACCACACGCTTAGCAGAAGCTGTCCAGCTTATCAGCAGGCTCTTAAAGCAAAGGGGAAATGAAAATTGTCCAATTGAATTTGAACCATTGCAGAGCGGCCCAGGACTTGCTTGCACAAACGGTGCGAGCCCTAAAAATAGACCTGGCCATTTTGAGCGAGCCATACGCAAGTAAGCACGATGGGATTTGGTTTCAAAACTCCCAAGGTGGTGCAGCAATTTGGAGCTGCAGCCCGAGACCACTGCAGATCCAATGCCGGCATTCAGGCAGAGGTTTTGTCAGGGCGAAGGTGGGTAGCCTTACCATCTACTCGTGCTACATTGCACCCAGTGTCGACTCCCAGACATTTGGCAGCATTGTCGACGACATTCTGGAGGACGCTAGAGGACGACACCCCATTATTATTGCCGGCGATTTCAACGCCTGGGCAACGGAGTGGGGCAGTCGCCTCACAAACCATAGAGGTCACATATTTTTGGACGCTGTTGCCCGGTCAGGCCTCACCCTGGCTAACACAGGGACTGCCAACACCTACGAGAAGGCGGGAATGGGTTCTGTGATCGACATCACGTTCATGAGCTCAACCTTAACCAGGACGTCAGCATGGCAAGTCTCAGAGATATATACCGGAAGCGACCACCGGGCCATCACCATGGAAATAAGAGACGGGCGATTTAAACGCAAAAACACCAATGCGTCCACTGGGTTCCGAGATTCTACCCTCGACCCGCAAGCCCTGATCTTAATGGCGGAAGACCTCGTGTATGACGAGCGTAAGAACGCCAATGAAAATGCTGTAGGCATAAAGAAGGCGACTTGGTCAGCATGCGCAGCTTCCATGCAAAGGAGACGCGCTGGCGGTAATGGTTGTCCCCCGGTGTATTGGTGGACCGATGCCATAGCGGAGGCGCGCAGGAAGTGCCACCAGGCACGAAGGCAATACATGCGCTCTCGAGGTAGGCCGGACTTCGCCTCACTCCAACGCCTCTACAAATCCGTGCGGTCGGCTCTTAAAAAGGAGATCTCCGCGAGCAAGAAACAATGCTTCGCAAAATTATGCGATGACGCAGACACACGTCCCTGGGGTACAGCGTACAAGCTGGTAATGGGGAAGTTGGCGGCTTTCAGCCAGCCAACCCCAACATGTCCGGAGCAACTCAGCAACATAGTGGCGCAACTCTTCCCGCCGAGTGTTGCACTGCAGCCACAGCAAGAACCCTCCCCGCTTTAAAGTGAGAATTTTCCCACGTTCACAAATGCTGCGGAAGTCTTGGCTGAAGTTAGGAGAATCAAAGTCGAAAAGGCCCCTGGCCCAGATATGATTCCTAACAAGGCATTAAAGATCATAATGACGGAGAGATTAGAGATCTTCGTCAGGCTCTTCAATGCCTGTTTCGCACAGAGAACGTTCCCTGAAGCCTGGAAAATGCAGAGACTGGTACTATTACCCAAGGGCAGTCAAAATGACAACCTTGCGGCCTATAGACCACTCTGCATGCTTGACACTGTGGCAAAGGTATATGAGAGGCTCATCTGCAACCGCATCGAAGTTGCACTGTCCGAGGGTCCGGGCTTATCCCACAATCAATTTGGTTTTAGGAAGAAGCGCTCCACAGTGGACGCGATCGGGCTGGTACATAAACTGGCCTCTGAGGCAATCCAGGGAGCACGTTGGCGAGGTGGTAGCAAAAAATACTGCCTTGTGACTACCCTGGACGTAAAGAACGCATTTAATACTGCCAACTGGGTGCGGATACTCTCAGCCCTGAGACGTTTACAGGTCCCCAGCTATCTGGTGGACATAGTCTCAGAGTATCTTAGCAACAGACAGCTTCTATATGATACTGAGGAGGGCCGTCGAAGCTATGCAGTTTCAGCAGGAGTTCCCCAGGGCTCGGTGCTGGGCCCGACCCTCTGGAACTGCATGTACGATGGAATACTGAACCTACAGCTCCCTGAAGGAGCTACGATCATTGGCTTCGCAGACGATATTGCTGTCGTCGCAGTAGCGAAGCACCTAAATGAAGCCGAAGCAGTAACTAATGCGTCTATCGAGCAAGCTTCCCACTGGCTATGTGCTAATGGCCTGAAGCTCGCCGAGCCCAAGACGGAAGCCGTCTTGATCAGCAGCAGGAAGGCAGTAGAAACCGCCCAAATAATAGTGGGTAGGACAATTATACGGTCCAAGCCCTTCATTAGGTACCTTGGCGTAATGCTGGACCACCGGCTTACGTAAAAATTCCATTTAGAGGTGACGGGCAACAAAGCGGCCAAAGTTGCCACGTCCCTAGCTAGGATGTTAGGGAACGTAAACGGGCCTAAACAGCAGAGTAGGCGCCTTCTTGCCAGTGTGGTAAAATCCACTATTATGTATGCGGCACCGATCTGGGCTCCGGCCATGACCTCGTCTACTTATAGCCGCTCGTGCAGGGCGGCATACAGACGCGCCGCACTTCGAGTCATTTGTGGCTTTCGGACCGTTTCAGAGGAAAGCGCGCTGTTCCTATCCACCATGACGCCCCTGGACCTGCTCGCAAATCAGGCCCGGGAACTGACCGGCGGAGATGCATCGATGGAGGAGACCAGCGCCCGCGTGGTCTCAGCGTGGCAAAGTCGATGGAGTAGCAGCTCGAAAGGTAGGTGGACATATAAACTTCTGCCCGATGTGGAGCGTTGGACAGAAAGAAAGCACGGACAAGTTGACTTCTACATGACGCAACTATTGACAGGACATGGGTGCTTCAAATCCGATCTCCATAGGTTTGGGCACGAGACGGACCCCTTTTGCACACACTGTGCGGGGGCAATTGAAGACGCAGAACATGTATTCTTTGTCTGTCCGAGATTCGAAGCTTTAAGGCATGAGCTCAGCTTAGCGATTGGGAAGCCGTTCACGGTCTCTGACCTGATGGATACGCTACTGGGCTCACAAAACAATTGGGATGCCGTAAGCAAAATGACAGTCTTTGTCATGAAATCCATGCGTCGCGCTGAACGAACCTAATTATCTGCTGCGGCTGGATGACCCGACATACACCCCCCGTTGGAAGCCTGGCTTTCAACAGCATCTTTAAGGGGCAGCAGACACAGCTTATTAACTGCTCATTTCGTCACTCCTGATGTTGTCTTGAGGACTGCAACTCGAGCAAATCCATCTGCACCAAACAGAAGCTCAATGACTCTCGCTAGGGGCCACTTCTTCGGAGGCAAGTTCTCATCCTTGACCAGCACCACGTCACCGACAACCAGGCCAGGCTTCGGGGTATGCCATTTAGAGCGCTGCTGCAGTAGCGTCAGGTAATCTTCCTTCCATCGGGTCCAGCGGACTTGCTGCAAATAGGCCACACGTTGCCATCCATCCAATCGTTCCGTCTTCCTCCCCCCAATAGGACAATACTGGGATCGAACTATGCAGAATAGGGCGCGAGGTCCAGTGTACAGATTACGCTCATGAAAGTGAGTAATGATGGCGGCAGTGACAGGATGGCTTCGTGACAATATGATTGGATGACGGCCATTGAAGTCCAGCGACGAGTTTCTTAGTCGGCCATCCACTCTTAGAAGCCCAAACTGATCCATAAAGGGAAATGGGAATGATCCAACCGAACTAGATGGGGCTACTACTCCTTTAGACTGCAAGGATTTTATGGTGCTTTGGATATCCGACGCATTAAGATCCGGCTGACGAATGCGATTGATAAACTTGTAGACGTATCCGAAAATCCTTTGAAGCGCAGCGAAGGAATTTGCAAATTTGGAACAGGCTACGATGTCTGCGTATGGTGATTTTATTAGCAGAACCTTTCGACGATCATCAAGGCGATCCAAGCTATTCTCCTTACTAACGAGAGGTACAGCAAGGGGCGAGATAAATGAAGTGCCATTGGAGACGCCATATCCTCCGGAAACAACCCATCCCAGTCGAGTCTTTTGAATAAGCGGTAATCCAGGTGCGAGTTTAATTTGTCCAACGCACAACAGCTCGTAAAACAAACTGGATCCAATCAAAAGATCCACACGCTGAGGGATATAAAATGTAGGGTCAGCTAATTTAATGTTTTGCGGTATTTTCCAGCTGCCGACGTCCACATTGAAACTAGGCTGTAGCTCAGTTATATTGGGGGCAATAACTGCGGTTAGGTTCACCGTGTAATCAGACGTTCGGGACTGCATCGTAATATTAACTGAGTGACCATTTGTAACAAAGCTCGAATCACCGATTTCAGTAACAGATGCCGAGGACTTCATCTTCTTTGTTTGAAGCTGATCTGCAAAGCGGGAAGGACTCGACATGGAACGAAAACTTCAGACCGATATTTTACGAGAACGGTGTCAGTGGCTAGGAGCACAATGTCAGTACTGAAATCCTGAGCAATAAGAGCAGTGGATGTGGAAGGCACGGCAGATGGTTCTACGACAGCATTGAGAGAGACAGCGGCAAGAGCTTCTGGAAGCTGTGATCCTGCCTGTGGAGAAGCGGAGGCTAAATTTCCCAAGTGAAGGAGGGTGTGGTGTTTAGCTCCGCATGCACGACAATTGCTGGAATTGCACTGCCTCAATTGATGCCCTATCTTAAGGCAATCTATGCAAAGAGAGAGCCTCCTTACTTCTTGAAGCCGATTTGCAGGGGGCAGAGCATAAAAATCTTGGCAGTAATGAATGGAGTGACCAGAAGCATTACAGGACGAACAAATCCAAGGGTTAATATTTGTGGCAACAAAAGCGGATCTACGTGAATTAGACGTTCCGTTGTTTCCTACCTGATCGCCAGACGCTTAGTTTGCCATGGCGAAATCCATAGTCTCCAATGTGCTGCATCGCTGCTCCAAAAATGACGCCATGGATTCCCACGTCGGAATTAGATTAATGAATACTGAGTACTCTAATCGCTCCTATTTGGCCTGGCTCGCAGGATCTAGCTTTTGAAGCAATATTTGGACGATAATGCAACCTGCGATTTGTTCCGTAATGTCCAATCCCTTTAGAGCACGAATATGAGCATTAAATTCGTCGGACAGCTCACGAAGCATCGAGACGGAACCACTCTGCACTGCTTTTAGCCCCAGGATCTCAGTAATGTGTGCCTGAAAAACTAAACGACGATTATCAAATCTGTTTTGCAGTAAGTCTAAAGCAACAGAATAATTTCTATCCGAAATTTCCAGCGAGCGGATGGTTTCCAACGCAGAATTCCTTAGGCATGAACGTAGATGCTGCAGCTTTTCAATGTTGGTCAGGTCAGGATGACTATCTATGATAATTGTAAACATAGAATAGAAATCTGCCCAATTCGCATAACCTCCAGCGAATTTCGGAAGTTCAAGAGCGGGAAGTGGAATAGCTCGGCGCAGAGCTTGTCGCTGTTGATGGCCGAAATAACCGGACGTATTACCATCAGCAAAGGTTGACTGCTGAAGCAATTGCGAGGAGCGCTTTGTGATCTCCGATCGAACCGTTGACTTAAGAATTACGACGACGTCATCAAATTTCTCGTCCAAGTCGTTTTCAATTTCGTCGAAATCCAATTCCTCAAGCTCGCTGAGAACCTTTTTAAATGCTCCTTGAAGTTCCTCGATAAGCTCCAACCTCACATGAAGGCTAGAATCGTAAAACGAATTCAACGCCGAACTTGAAAGAGATTCTATTAAACGCTCCACTCTATTAAATAGTGAATTTGCCTTGCGCTTCAGAAACGTCACCCTGTTTGAGCTGCTATTGCCGGTGACGCTTACCGAATTTTCTGTAGACATGTTAAGCAGCAACAACAACAACAAAAACTGCAGCAGACTCGGTGGGCAAAATTCGGCTTAGCGGGAAGATGAGCGCAAAGAGTAATACCGAAAACAGTTCGCTACTGGTCTATGTACCGCCTTATGTACAATCTTGTGTAATATTATTTACACAAATCAACTTATACAAATTTGATTTGTTTATGGCCGGCCAACGCACTGCAACACCGATAAAAAGAGATATGCAGCTGGTAAAATAAATTAATTCTTGTGACTTGCACTGGGTATTTTTATGCACAAATCATGTCGGGGTCACCAAATGTTGAGCTAATAAGCTTTTTTATTAGCTGTTTGGTCATGCCGCAGCCTAAATCGAATGATTAAAATCAAATCGTAACGTAATTCAAATTCTCGATGTTTTGCCTTTTGTTTTGCTATTTGCCCTGCGCGGCAACACTGTTTTGATTGTCATTGCTAACTACCTTTGCACTTTTTCGCTTAT